ACAATCATAAACATTAATTTTAAAATATCACTTAAACGAAAAGTTAAAGTGAAGTAATTCTGCGTTTTATCTCGTGAGTGAGGTAGTCATGACCAATTTTATTGAAAGGTGGCACGCCTCTCCAGTTCATGTGCGGCAGTTATCACATAAAATAACGTGAACCACCAGATCTCGCTTGTTGTGCATTTGCAAACGCTTGCCAGCTCGCAGCCCAGACATAAATACCATACAACTTGTATGGGACGCACTTGGCAGATGTGATAGACGCTTTCGAGGTCCTATACGTGTTGAGCAATGCGAAAGTGAAAGAGTGAACAAACATACCTAGATGATGTTTTACTTTTGGCATTCCGTTTTGTGCCCTCGTATGGTGTAGACGTCTCTCTAAGGCTGAAAAAACATGTTTATTAGTCTTTCATCTCATCTATACAGATGAATAAAATTGGAGTGTCTGTTTGTAATAACCGCTTTTTACTATGCTAGGATGTTTACACGGCTCATATACCAAAATAACATTTTTTTTAATTTTTGTCTGTCTGTCTGTTTTTTTCCGGCTAATCTCTGAAACGGCTGGACCGATTTTGACGGCTTTCATTGGCTTTTTTTTGTTTTAAATTCCACGCGGACGAAGTCGCGGGCACAGCTCTTTTCGTTCGCTCTCTCTCTTCCACCCAGGCCTCGACCATTCAATTTGTGCTCTTTATAAAACATTAAACAAAAGTGGTTGGAGTGCAATAAGCGTACTAAATTGTGAATCAGTGACTTTGGATAATTCATCCCAAATACCTCATAAATCAATTATTTCAATCATTAACATATCCCCGAATTAGACGCCATTTGTAACCTCGGTTGTACTTTGAATCTTTGCTATCTAATCATCCTGATCATCAGGAGCCCATACTCGTCGACGACAGCCTATTAGATCTAGCTGAACCGGTGTAAGGGACGCAGATTACTGAATACAGAAGACTCAAGAAAGAAGACCTAAGAAACTTTTAAGCAGAAAGAAAAAGAAACGCTATAACAGAAAAAAGAAATCTTTGCCCGACTTACGACTATTTCAAGTGTTAGCGTAGTGCTCGGTACGTTCCTGCACTGTAAGTCGAATTCTACTCACACTTTTCGCTTTACTAGATAGTGGACTGGAATCATTTTCAGGTGAAACTCAACCTCCAGCCTTTCATCCACTTACCTTAGACGATAGCTAAGTGCAATGACCCAAATCGAGTCTCCGTAACAGCATCTCCTCCGCCGTCGCAGAATCGGAACGAACAGTGATGGTGTCGACAAACACACATCGCTCATTTTTAAGGTTGACCGAAACGTGTCGGATTATGACGACGTGAATAGTGCACTTTCGCGTATCCTCCACTGGTTTACCGTTAATAATATGGTGTTAAATGCTAAAAAAAAAACTAAATGCCTTCTTTTTACCCTTCCCAGCGTAAGAAGGCGAAGTTTTAGCTTAACATTAAATAGCGTAACCCTTAATCCTGTTGAGTCCGCTGTATTCTTGGGAATTACAGTGGATTCAAAGCTCCAATGGAGTCCCCATCTATCATCTCTTGCGAACAGGTTAAGCTCCGCTGTTTTTGCAATTAGGAAGGTTAGGCAGCTATCAGACATCGACACTGCCAGACTTGTTTATTTCAGTTATTTCCACAGCATCTTGTCTTACGGCATTTTGTTGTGGGGTAGTGCATCTGATATAAATTCTATATTTATTCTTCAAAAAAGAGCTGTCCGAGCAATCTATGACATCGGAGTCTGGAATACACTCAGAGACCTTTTTTAAGAGATTAATATACTCACTGTTGCGTCTCAATATATTTATTGTAATATTTTGTATGTTAAACATAATATTAATAGTTATCTAAAGAATAGTGACAGACATAAACTAAATACTAGAAATAAGGACAAACTAACTACGCCGTTGTTTCGTCTACAAAAAGTAAACAGGTCGTTCATGGGGCAAAGTGTGCGCATGTATAATAAAATCCCACAGTCGATATTAAGTCTGCCACTTGACGAATTTAAACGAAAAATTAAAAGTAAACTTATGGCTAAAGCCTATTATTCTATTGCCGAATATCTTGACGACGGCAATGTGTGGGGTTAATACTGTTGATACTCACGTAGGCTAAAACAAGACTATTGTACCTGTACTATTATATTGTAAACCGATTTTTTTAAAAAGAGCAACTGTTGAGTTTCTTGCCGGATTCTTCTCAACAGAAACTGCTTTCCGAACCGGTGGTAACTTACGAACGTGTTAATTTCTTGTAAAATTTTGACGTTTCATAAGAACGCGCAAGCGTCTATGTGAATAAAGATATTTTATTATTATTATTATTATTATAAACGCCTTAACTTTCCACTGTACAAATGCTAGAGCTGCATTTATCGTTTGGTAAGTAAGAAAAAAGTAAATGGGCAGTGTATACCGCTCAGAATCGAACCAAACAAAGCCCGCAGATTGACTATTTTGAGGCCTAACAATCTAGACAACTGGCAGCAGGCGGTACGAAGAAAAAGAAGAAGATGAAATAGAAACGTATCATTTACTACAGTTTATTTCGATACTTATATATAATTTATAAAAACGAAAACAGAAAAACAAAAAAAATCGTATTCAATATAAGCCCTGCTACGATACAGACGCGCATATAAAGCCTATTTCAATTTATGAAATTCTCATTTCTTTGATGATGGTTCTACCTACTCCAAACATCCAATCTCGTGTGCGAATCTTTAAGCAGAATTAGGAATATAAATTGTGTTCACATTTTGTTTCTCGCAAAATAATGTCAGGGCAACGGTGCTTAGTAAAAATTTATTATGTTATTCATCTTGAAATAGATTCGAAATTAATTTTAGAATTACTAACGAAGTTATTATACAGCGTGTCGTTACACCCGCGACAATAAATGAATTAATAATAATACGACAATAAATACATTTATTGTTTTGGTTGTAACGACACGCTGTATACGGTCGGGGTATGAAAATCTTTATGAATTTTCAAATTCATTTCTTTCTCGAGTCGTAGACTCTTAATACCTTCAGAAACTAAAGCATATAGCAGACAACTGCATATACAATAATGCTTACTTGAATTGCACAGGGGTAAGGCCACGCAGCAGCTTCGGATGTTGCACGAATGGGTAGGCTCGTCCGGGTAAGTACCATGACCTCACAGAAGAATGTGGAAGTAATGTGGAAGTATAATACTTTCGCGTTTCATCTGGTGGGTGAGGTGGCCGGAGCCCAATTTTCAAAAGGCTGTCAACGCATCTGCAACCCTGGTGTGTAGTAGATTTCCTTGTGCGGTGGTATTAAATTAACATGAGGTGAACTGCCTGATCGCTTGGCAACTTGTCACAAAGAAAATACGTAACAATGTTCAATGTTTACTATATCCATGTCAACTAAAAATCTAGTTTTGTATCAACAACAAACCTTTCTAATGAAAAATATACAAAGTTGGAACCAAATATAATTATTCTAGATAATATTCATCGTTGTTATTTTTCTCTATCGTTTAATTTTTTTTAATTGCAATATGCGCTCTTCAACATTTACTAAAAGTGCTTCCAATCATCTTGACATGGGGGTCACGGCGTGCCAAGCTTAAGTTCTGGACGCACATATGCCAACTTTTAGGGCTGGATCTCGGCTTGTGGAGTAGGCGAGCTTGTTCACCTTTCGTCTAAGGCACATATAGCGAATTATGTAACGGGTCTTCTGCGAGACAGCAAGCTTCCGGACGTTGTTTCCATTTGATGGACTATAAGATTTCAATTATGTCTACGACAACTCCCACATTTACGCAGTTCATATTATAAATGCGTGCTTCCATCGTTACGCTGAAGTAGCGGTCATGACTAATATTTAATCTGATGCAAGCAAATGTTAAGGTGACTAAGCGTATAGTTTTTATTTTTTACATCTAACATGTTCACCTACCTAATCGTATCTGTACCACCCTAAAGTTGAATGGGAGATAAGCCTTTGACATTAAGTCCGGCTTTGTAATTTTTGTGCATGAAGGATTAATAAATAAATGATTAAAGTAGTTGCAAATAAGTCTTGATTAGTACTGAATCCACATAATATCTTCTTTCATTTATTCAACTACCCGCCTCGGCTGCGCACGGGTGCAATGCTGAATGTTTGTTTTCAACATCGCATTAGAAACCACTAAAATTATCATTTTTTCTCTACTGTATGCCTATAAACCTTCTTTTTGAATCACTCTATCTATTAAACAAAACAGCATCAAAATCCGTTGCGCAATTTTAAAGATATATGTGTATATAGGGACAGACAGCGGGACGACATTGTTTTATACTATGTAGTTATGAACTGTAGTCAAATAATTCGTTAATCATTGATAAATCAGAATATAATCAACTCCAAAGATAAAATATGAAGAAATTTTCTATAAAATGTCTTTTCAAATTTCATTTGAGTTGCCAAAAGGATGGTTAAACTCTTTGAATTGATCAGATTGATCTTCCTAATGGTCAGCGTTTCAGAAACCGGGCGTAAATCGCACAATCCAACGCAATCTTATTATTTATAACATACATATATGTATCTCTACTAAATTTTAGACAAACTCAATATGTTATAAAATTATTATTTCATTATTCAACCACAGGCAACCCAATTCACGAGGGTTTACTAACAACTGTTATTTGATATACATAAACTCTGCTTGTTCCATGCGTGGTGATATTAAAACCGCAAGTTCCACCACTTCTCTATATTCGTGACTAGACTTGGCATTCAGCCAGCTTTTGATATGATCTATTTTCAGGATTTTATCTTGATTTATCCTGACTTTAAATTTCCGACGTTTCGAACACTTTACAGCGTTCATGATACACAGACAGATATTTAAAAATAATTGTGGTTAGAAGTGTAAAGCACCGATTAGGTGAAATTAAACGGCACGTTTTATGAAAATAATATAAATAATTATTGCATTTAAATTATACAACGTTATATCTAGTTCTTGGCACAAATGGCACGGGGTTTGAGTTCGGAGACAGCAGCAGTCTGACATTGACGTTCGCCCGCCGCCAACGGTTCCACATAACGTAGTGGTCTTTCCACAGCAAGTATACTGTTATCGAGTAGCCACAGAGCACAATCGCCATGAAAAAATCCATAGCCGTCTCTGTGATACGATGGGAAATTCCTGTGAAGGCGTCATTTCAAATAAACTAGTTCAACTTGTTGCGTATCACTGATTTGAATGGTGACATACTGATGTGGAGAGTTTATGGTATTAAATTTCCGGGTTAAGTGAGGTGGCAAGTCGATAGAACAGGTCCTAGTAGAATTCATATCATGGAAGATATACTGAGGGAGCGTGGGGCAAATTACACCGTACCTGGTGTAAAAGTTTTGTTTTTTTTTTTTTTTTTTTTTTTTTTTTTTATGCGAAAAGTGTCAAACGAGCAGACGGTTCACCTGATGTTAAGTGAATACCGCCGCCCATGGACATCTGCTACACTCGAGGGTTACAGATGCGTTGACAACCTTGTCTTACATAAAGGATTAATTTATGGAGGAGGCCTATTATATAGTTCAACAGTGGACTCAAACAGGCTGAAATGAATGAAAAAAGATACATCACATATTAAAAGAAGCTTTTCGTTTTTTTGTTTGATAAAGGTTAAAAAACTCTCAAGCTTTATAATTATGATAGGACGTGAAAAGAAAAAAAAACAACAAAAAGAAAAAAAAAAGACAAACCTTCTTCCTTTCTAGCACCTGGATCGAGCTTACCAAATTTGTTGCCCTCAATAACAAAGTACTGAGTACCAACGATGCATACTGCCAGGAGGCCAGCGGTCACAGTTGACAGCAACCAAAATATGAGGCAGTCAGACTGTGAAAGAAAAAAATTAAAATGATTATATATTGTCGATTACACTCATAAAATAATATTGCTTTCTTACGTATTGCTGTTAACACTCGATTATTGTTGTGCAATTCGTTCGACACAAAAAAAAATTTCAACTATGCAGATTATTTAGATAAATTGTAAAACCAGTGTTGTTTTATCCCATATAAACTATAGTTGAAAAAAAAAATAACGAGAGAAACTGTCAAGTAAGTGCTGCCCCCACTCCCAATGACCCAACCTAAGGAAGAACCTAAAAGTCCTATTACTTTGAAAATCTATGTTTTCACTAGTTGCCATTATATTTTATTGATAAGCAATCTTGCTAACCCTTGTAAGAATAGCGTAATTTAAAATCAAGGTATTAGACCTTGTCCTAATACGCATTAACAATTATAGCTCTCGAATTTCCAAATATAATAAGGGAGAAAGATATAGGCTAGGCTGTTTACTTTATATTTTATGTAGATGTTTACTTTAAGTTAAATGCATTTTACATTTAACATTTCAAGCATAACCAGAGATCGTGAGGGTGCTTGCCATTTTGCAAATTACGCCTCGCCAACGACTGTTGATAAATTGCGTTTAATTTAAGCGGCGCAGGAAATTAATACTGCGGTATTTGGTGTCACGTTTCAAGCAACCAATGAATTATGTATTGGTGCGGAGGCATCGATTTTGGTTACAAGCTGTTCGTTGAGAGCGGAGTTCTAAACTCATACTAATTATTATTTAAGTTTTTTTTTACAAAAGAAAAAGAAAACGAATTAGGACTCACTTTTTTCAACAATTGTAAGTTAATCTTTAATATGGTCTCCTATGGAACGTGAGTCATTTCCCAGCCTTTTCGTAACCGAACATCAGGAACAGTACCCGGAGGACCGAGCTTTGCTCGGTTTGTTTTTGTTTTTTTTTTGGTAAATCGTGTATTTTGGAAATTACATTTACATACAAAGTACTAAGTAATGAAATATGCATAATATTTTTCACCTTACACTTACCGACGTAATAATAAGAAAATATGAACTGGTGTTTTTCACACTTTAAAAAAAAGGGAAAAAAATAACAACATAACAAATCGACAAAAAATAACAGATAAAGAAATTAATGATCTGGAATCGAAAAAGAAAGTAAAAATATAAGTGTGTAAATAAATGACCGTGATACGAACCACGGCCTTCTGTTTCGTGGCTGTTTGTTAGCGGCCGCCCGATTACCGACCGAGCTATTATAACATCCCTGAAAACAGGGATAAAAGAACATTTTCTAAAAATGAAATCTAGTCAGATCGATTTTTCGCCCCCGAATCTACGCACATACTAAATTTCATGAAAATCGCTGGAGCCGTTTCCGAGATTCCAATTATATATATATACAAGAATTGCTCGTTTAAAGGATAAGATTTACTTTGAAAACTTAGATCTTAACTGTATAATAGCAAAACACATCATTCCCACCTGTAAATGACTTCTGTTGCGAGGGTTCCCAAACCATAAGCGCAGAGCCTGAAGTACAGTGTACCTAGGCGTTCGAATTGCTGGATAGCTGAAAATGAAGAAAGCAAAGTAAGAGCATGTGTGTAATCCACTGCTAAGTAATCCATGCGACCCCACTGCAGATTGGCAGACTTCAAAATAATTTTTTCTTTTATTATTTCGAAAATATGCAGATGTCCTCAGATATTTTCATTCACATTACTTGATAAACAGCATTCTAACTTGCAATTTCATTGGCACAACAAATTAATTGGCACTGGGATCCTAACTCGTATTGCTGGAGTATATGAAATTGAGTGAAACGCAATGAAAAAGCTTTAAAAAAAATATACTTCGAGCCACATTGTATTGCGCCATTTAATAAAATCAAATAATTTTAACAACAGTAAAAGAAGAGAAACGATTCATCTGCTTCATTCAGATGTACTTAGCGAAGCATTTCTTTTATATTTCTCCACTTACCTGAACCCGCAAAGTTCGCAATGATTTCTGCCAACTTGATTAAGCCATCTCTCTAAGCACGATAAATGGACGTTCGCGAGAGAGCCTTTGCAGTTGCATGGTGAAATCAACCTGTGTGGAAACAAAATTAATGATGTTTTTGTATGACAAGTAAAAACAGATACGGGATTGAATACATTTTTATGTATCTTAATATTTTTAAATATATTTTATTACTAATATTTGTATTTTTAAAATGTTAACAGTTAGTTTTAGGTAACTCATCTCTCAATTTAGTTAAATTATTTAAAAAGCGTTTGTGGGATTAAAATGCGATATTATGTTACTTTTTATGTATATAATATGTAAGTACTGAACACGTTACATTACCTTTCACGACCTTTTGTCATACATATTCGACAAACGTTAGACCCAATACTTGATAGTGAGTCTCTCGCCGCTAATCCAAAATCAGATTTTTCTGATAGATTTCCTGAAGTTTTAGATTTTTTGTTTCCTTCTATAGTTTTTGACTGCTTCGGAATAAGAAAATTTGTGTTCGTTGTTCTTATGTCGTTAGATACATTAACGACATCGACTACCTCGGCATGGTGATTTTGAAAACAATTGACATTTGTTAGATCGTGTAATGGTTCATTAATTATAGCACTTATGGCAGTGTGAACAGTTTGGACATTTGGTACTTCTGGTAGAGTGAAATTTTCACCATCTTTATTAGAATTAAAGCAGGAGGCTACAAACTTTTTTAATTCTAAAAATGTAGTCGGATCGCATTGTTCATTGGTTTGGTTTTTAGTCAATACAGGTATTTTAAGTTCTTTGAAATTAATGCTTTTGATCTTCTCATTTGCTGGAGTAAAACTCAGCGATGATAGCTTAAGCGCATTTGCTACATCTTGAGATGTTATAATATGTCGCAGGTTGTGTTCAGATTTGGATATACCGGGTTTGGATTGATATATATATTTTGGACTTTGTATTATTTCACCAGGCAATGGAATAAATCCCGACGGTCCAGCTTCGTCTGTCTTTTGCTGTTTTTGATTATTTATTTCCTCGCTTTGAGCACTTAAATCATTGTCATTTTCTTCTGTATTATTTGTTTTATTGTTTTCTTCCATGAAAACCTTTATTGCATCACTATTTTTTGTTATAAAGTGCTGATAATATAAAATGTGTTTTAAAAATTATATTTGACATTTAATTTTGACGTCCTTTATTATCTTAATCTTTAACATTTTTTTTTAAATATTGACAAAATCTCACTAAAGAGTATCTTATGATTATCTATCTACCTTAAATGACAATGGAACATATATTTGGGTTGTAATTTAAGAACCTACTTATTTTTAAAGCTACGTTATAATTAATATTAACTTAATTATTCTACTAAGGCTAATAAAAAGGCCTAAGAAAAATTCAAATTCAATAACGGCATTTATATATGAGTTAATTAGTCTGCGAAATTTTTCAGCGTAAAATTCCGGATTTTATAAGGCCGCATCTTCTAATCTTTTGTTCTACGAAAACATATTAGAAGAGAGGTATTGAATGAAGCAAATGGATCCTTGTGTATATTTTTGCGTAGTTAACAAAGTTTAGTACCAGACAACGAACCTAAATTCATGATTCAGCTCCATATTCGAGAAACATTTTTTATTATGAACCCGATAAAATTTAAGCTTTTATGTCCTATTATCTATACCGCAAATCTAACTTTGATGTCGACGCAAAAAAATTGTTCATGGTTCTATAAAAGTAAGCAAAGTTGATTTTTCTAAGTTAATCCCTCGCTGCTCATTAAACTTACTTTCGAAAGTACTGAAATTGCTTAACACTCAGCTGTAATTACGAATTAGTGCACACAGAACACTTCACTATATGTCATTAAAAATTTAACGGAGTGTGACTTAGGAGAATATTATGCGTAACTGCTAATATAAATTTAAATGGACTAAATTCAAATTTACTTTCGTTTTTATTTTTTTGTAGGTACTTATTTATGTGCTAATTAATAGGTAAAATTCACATTCATTAGCTTCTGGGACCTAAATTAGTTTCTTTGATGATGAATGAACGAACCAATAATTTAATAGCTTAAAACTTGCTCATTAGGACACATTCACAGGATGAAGTTCACTCCTAAAGTTTACGGCATATAGAATAGCGCCACCTTGTCGTCTAATGCGACACAATTCAGATTTCACATTGAGGGGTGAACCGATTAACAATTATGATAACCGGCTGAAGTGTACTAAAGGAGAAAGGCAGTAGACCTTGAAAAGATTTCTCCCTCATGCAAAAAAATATTGCATAACGCTATCCAAAGCTTCACACTAGGTTTGGGGTTCTGTGGGTTCGGACAGACTAATTAAAATATTTCGCTTGCGTCGTGAAATATAAGTCAGGAGTGTAATAAATTGTTTGAAGGTTGTAAATTAAAATTATATGAAACTCACGGAAACGTAGCGGAGCAAGTAATGATATAAAATGTGTTCGTAGACAGAAAGGTCATTTAAAAGTTACGCGGGGCAATGTTTTAAGTAAGGTTTGGTTATTATATTGGCGAAATGTACCTGCCTCCTGCGCCAGAGGGTGTTTTAGTAATATTTGTGATTAGTGTCTGGGTGTTAATATAGGAATATGTTCAAGTAAAGATGTATAGTACATTAGAATGTTGTGTAAAAATTTTATTTATTTATTTAAGATGTAAGTACATTAATTTTTGTTATCTTGTGATCTGTCTGCTAAGTGAGTTTTTATTAAAAATAATGTCACAAATCATAAATACTGAAAACTAAAAAAATGCATAACTGAGTACTTGAGTTACGCTCAAAGAAGCAAGTAATTGTTTTATTATTTTTATTTATTTGTATTATTTGTATTACTGAAAAACTCCTTTTGGTATTTGATGCAACTGATTATCAAATTGGTCGAACTGGTTAATATAAAACTACAAAAATCATAATTATTGTTATTTTTTTCTCATAAAGGGATCTGGTCTTAGATGGTACAAGCCCTTGATCAATAAAAGGCTGACTTGGAAGGACGAATGTATTCCGGACTAACCGGGGGTCCCTCCCGTAACACTTTACCCAAGTGTAGGGTTAACTTTCAACAAACTTTACTTCGTTCTCGCCTACGAGCACGGCGAAACTAAAACACCCAGTAAGAGGTACAGCCTCGTCCCGGGCCGGCGCTCAGAGCTCCCAGTACAACACAACGACACAACTGACGGCCGTCGATACACAGTTCACCAACCGTTAAGGTTTTTAACGGCCCATATCCGACAATCTCTCTGTAATGAAAGTTCGGCTATTATTGAATGGACCTTATTACCATCTTTACCGTAAGTTTAATACACTCGAGTAAACTGAGTTCGATTCCCAGTGCAGGCAACAACGAAATTGATAATTTTAACTGCTTACTTATCACGTGCTTAGTGGTGAAGGAAAACATCGTGAAAAACCAGCATATTTTCGAAATAACGACATAAAATCTATTGTGAACTTATGTGACGTTTTCCAAGGTCTTGTAAGGTATTGAAGACAAAATTGTTTACTTTGCAAAAGATGTTTGTTCATTTAAATTATTTTTTTAATTATTTAAATTAGTTTATCAGAGTTATCAAGTTTACAATTGATCATCATCATTATATTCAGCTGGAAGACGTCCCGTGTTGAATAAATGCCTCTAAAATCTCAAGAGTCGCTCCACCAATTAAGAGAGACGAAATAAATATACTAAATTCTAAATCTAATATAAACGTTATATTTGGGGATGAAGCAGATTCAATAAATAAAAAAAATTCATAAACACCTCGATAATTTTCGAATTTAATTTTAAGTAGTGACGTTCAGTTTTAGATAGTTCACCTGATTTTATTTATTTATTTATTTACACTTTATGCACAATCTAGTACAAAGGCGGACTTAATGCCAAAGGCATTTTTTACCAGTCAACCTTAAGGTGGTGTAGAGATATCGAGGACACAGATATAACGTGTAGAACGATGACAGGTTATTCAAACACAAAATTTTTATTGTTTAAGCAAATGCTGATTAAAATTTTTAGAAAAGTACGAGAAGATTGTCGCCGCTGTGGGAATCGTACCCACGTCTTCAGCATTCGCGGCCAGCTTTAGCCACTAAGCTAAACGGCTGATTGGCACACTGACGAAAGTCTTAACGTCTCTTATCTACATTGTTAAAAAAAATTATTGTTTAATCTTAAGTGCAGAGATTGGCACTATAAAGAATTTAAATTTTTAGTTCACCTGACGTTAAGTGATTAACGCCGCCCATAAATATCTCAACACTTGGCGTTGCCAACTTTCAAAAATTGGACCCCGATTACCTCAATCCCTGGAAAGCAGGATGGCAATTCCGAGAGTGAATTTTGATTATGAAAATAAACACCTTCCAGTCTTAATAAATCAAAAAACGCCTACCAATCCGTAACGTAAAAGCCGAGCATCACACTGGAACTGCGTTTTTGATATAAATTTACTTCTCCCTTTTGTGCTTAAAATATACCGCAGCAAATCCATTCTGCATCCGGCAAACTGTAAATAAAAACGTTGCAAACAATGGTTTGGGTCTGTGTGACACACGCCGTGATTGGTGTTAAATGAATGAAGCCTATTAAGATCAATCACGGAAGCTTTTATCACATTTTTTGTTTTGCATCGTTACGTTAGCTTCTATGGCAATATATTAATCAACTTAGTTGATCAAGTGGTCAATTTTAAAAGAATTAACCTTCATAATTATGTCGCGTTATTCTTACACATACATGGCACGGTCTGTTACACCAAAAATTCTATGGACTTCTCAGTATTTTATTGTTAGTAAAAATTAGCTTAGATGGCTAGAATATCTATTTGTAATTTTTAAATATTTTAGATTTTAGTAATCATGTGGCATACGGTATATGTATACGGTGTACGTAGTGTTAAAAGTTGTAATACAACGATAAACAGACATTTAAATTAAAGACTCAAACTTTATTTTTGTGCCTATCGATCCTCAATATCCAAGACGATAAATAATCGTTTATTTCTAGAGTATTATATTAGTTAAACCATTTTTAATTATATGCTGTTTTAATTCATTATGTACTTTTCATATTTTACGGTGGTAGGGCCACGCAGCACAAGCCTCGGCTGATGCACGAATGGGCAGGCCCATCCGGGTAAGTACCGCGACCTCACATAAGTGGAATTATGACAAATACTTTTGTGTTTCGTCTGGTGAGTGAGGCAGCCGGAACCCAATTTTCAAAAGGTTGTCAACGCATCTGTAACCCTTGGGTGTAGCAGATGTCCATGGGCGGCGCTATTCACTTACCATCAGGTGAACCGTCTGCTCGTTTGGCAATTTTTCACATAAAAAAAAAGAAAACAAAAACGACACAAACGATGATCGAACGACGAACAACGTTGTTGTTTGCTTGCCACTTCGTTAACGCTAATTGAATTCACGATAGCATTAGCATTTGAGGCCAAGGTGAAGAAAAGGAAACACTAACCATTTAGTAAATAAACAGGCGTCTATATAACTACAGAGACAGACAACTTGGAAAAATTTATAAAAAATATGGTCCTTGCTCGGTCCCTCGATTCCGGGGATCATGACTTCATGTCTTTCTCTTCCAGTGCGTACGGTCTTAGGCGGTGCGGTGGTTTTATGCAGTCACATTTTATTACGAGTATTAAATCATACTTTTTCTAAACAGTTATATATTATTCACCAAATTCTATGAGTCTAATTTAAGTCTATGATAATCTTTAACCAGTAAAGTTCATAGACAAGCGGAGCGGATTTTTAAAAAAAGAAATCCGCCTGTAGTCCTATTCATAGGACTGCGAAATTATAAAAAAAACAAGATAAAAACAATCAAACACTTATCAAACCTAAAGTGGATATCCAAAAAGACGGACAACAATATTTCTGTCCAGTTATTCTATAGCTATTTAAGAATAAATCAAGTTTGGATTTATAGACAAACTGTATTTAAGCCAACCGCATTTTAGACCAAACTGCATTTTAGATAACTTTTTATTTTTGCCAATTTATAGAGACGAAACAAAATAAATGGTCAGTCGTCATCTTATAAATGAATAAATAACCATAACTTATTTCATTCGTAACGGGTCCGAAAGCGATAGTTAAGTCTTAATAAAACCGTTTAACTTAAAAGTTTTTAAACGGTTTTATTTTCTGTTTTTTTTTGTGCACTGAAAACTACAATATTGTATTGTCATCTAAATTAAATGTGTGTACCAAATTTCAGATCAATCTGACAACGGGAAGGTGCTTAAATTTCAATTTCTAATTTTGACCCAAATAAACAAATAAATTCCGTACATGTCGAGCTAAATAAAACCGTTTAATAAGGCATAAATATGGAAGATACAGATCGTGCATCAAATGAAGAAAACCTTCCAACGTTTCAAAGTCACGAGCCCAGATCGTATGTTCAACTTCCTAGTCATTTGGCTAACGCTATTTGAATCCTGAGAAATATGTGGAAAGATATCAATAAACTAAAACGGGACTTGCCAAACTGCCTAATACCTATTTGGTACGGCTCAAACGTTCACCCGTGCACGAAGTTTGGCCAACAATCCATTTTTTGT